AACCTGAAGAAAAGCAGTGATTAATAGTAAAAGAGACTTTGAATTGAATCATGTTGAGCAAGAAAAAAAACAATAGAGATGTTCGTAAGGGTCTTGATGTTTTAACTCCATCAATATGTTAGCAAAGAGTATGATGTCATATGTACGGGAATAGACTTTATCGTGTAGAACAACAATTTTGACTCTTTCTGTAGATGAAAGTGTCTTTTTTTCATTCTAAACTGTATTCTTTACAATATTATCAAAATGGCAGCTAATGTGGCAATGACAAAATTATTTTGACCATAAATTATATGTGAATAATAATAGGTGATGCAATAAGGACAAACTATTGCATCATGAAATCTCATATGATATATAGTACAAGGTAATGTAAAAGATTATATATATATATATATATATATATTAAAATTTGTCTATTTAGGCTGCAAATTCTCTTTTATGCATGTCTGATTAAATAAATTACAGATATTATGTCTGCTATTTTTAACAACTCCGTTCATACACACGAATAACCTTCCGTGTATTGATGTTAAAGCATGAGAGAAATGCACTATAGCTGTTTAAATTTCTTTTATTTTTATTTTCCAAGTACTTTCGATCTTCTGTCAAGATCATCTCCAGGGGTGCAAATAGTACAAAACTATATGTTGTTTATTAGTACAAGTATTTATACAAAGTTGTGCGCTGTAATCCATTACTGTAATTTTTTTCTTTATGCATTTAAATGTAAAACGGTTGACAATGTGCTGAGCGTTCAAGAAACATGAAAAAATATACGAAAGTGAATTAATATATATATATATATATATATATATATAATCACTATATATATATATATATATATATTAATCACTATATATATATATATATATATATATATAAGGTTTTTCAAAAGAAAGAACATATTTCTAAGATTTAATAAAAACAGATCCTAAGAGACAGAATAACATTCAACGCATTGCCAGATAGGAAATGATTCAGTTGTTAAAATGAAAAATATTTTTAGTCTTGTTTTAATGTCTCTTACCATTTTTTTATTAAATTTTCGAAATCAGCTCAATATATATATATATATATATATATATATATATATATATATATATATATATTCAAGTATAGGATTGGTGTATACGGAATAAATTCCAATAACCAACAATTACTTAAAAGAGTGCTCAATACAGAATAGAGCAGTATAAAAAATGGCTATTTTTGTAGTGATTTTATAACATTTTTATGTTATAATTTTCGAATAAATGATTATCATCCTTATTATAAAACCCACTTTGTGTGTGTCTATACGTTTATATATTGGATCGGATTTCCTACATTTGCAACCGATTTCAACAAAACATCACAGGACTACGTGAAATTACCTTGCGGTGGTTCTGACAGCGGCACAAATTGGAAAAACACAATTGTTTTTGCACGAAATCAATTTGAAAACACGATTAAGAGGCATCGCGAGAATGAAAGGGGGACAACTCATATCGAGTTATACTTATTATAAAACCCAGGTTGTTTGTGTGTGTGTTCGTTTGTATATGGGATCGGATTTCCTACATTTTTCAACCGATTTCAACAAAACTTCACTTTTTTTTTGGCAGGTAGTGTTTCTTATTGTCTTGCACACTTTTTTCTTTATTCTTGCATTCAGAATGCTTTAAAAATTCCATTTACAAGACAATTGTTTATAATAAAATTCTATTAAATCGGTAGACTCATAACGATTGAAAACAATGTTTTTGTTTGAGTTTGGGTTTGACCAATTCGTAAAAAAAAAAAAAATAACTAATTAAGACATGCGTATCCGTCAACCTTAAACAATAATCTTTGTCAATTTTATTTTTCAGTTTTTATGATGGTCGATACTTGTTCTATCTCTTACTGTTGCATCCCCGGGCAACGCAGGGCTCTACTGCTAGTATATATATATATATATATATATATATATATATATATATATATATATATATATTTATACGTGTGTGTGTGTGTCTGTGTAATAGGGCACAGTGAGTGATCGTGATAATAAAACAGTGTTCGATGCATAATAACAAAGCTAAAATTTATACTAATAATAAATATACATTTTTCCTTACTGTTTGTTACAACGATAAGATTCATGCTCATGATAATCGTCAGGCACGGATTGAAAATTGCAAGAATTGAAGGTACATGCACCACGATCACAGTTACTAACGAGGTCCTGATTGGCAGTTTTCAGTCCGTACTTGATCATTGAAACTCGGAGTTGTAACAAACTGTGACGAAAATTTCTTTATTATCAGTATATATATATATATATATATATATATATATATATATATATATATATATGCGTGTGTGTGTTTATGTGTGTGTCTGTGCGTGTGAGTCTTTCGTTAAAGACGACTGTTAAGTTATTGCAATTAACCTTTTTTATTTAATTTTTCTTTCTAGTGTTTTCTTTTCTGGACACAAGGTGTGTAAACACAGTCCAAAAGTTTTACAATGTACTGACCGTGTTTGGAAAATAAATAATTCCTATAAATCTAGATACATACATAACACAACCCATATATTCAGTTAAAAGTAAAAAATAAAATCATCCTTGATAATGGTTAAAAGTATAGGCGAAAGTGCCGGAACATGCAGATCTTTTGAAAAGTTTTTACACACTTTGTGTCCAGAAAAGAAAACACTTGTACGAACACAAGAAAAATTAAATAAAAATTTTAATCGCAGTACCTTGTCAGTCGTCTTTACTGAAACATGTATAAAAGTAGGACTGTAAATGCTATATATATATATATATATATATATATCAAAGTATATAATTAGTATATACGGAATGAAACAATATTTTATTTTCAAATCATCAGGAAGACTGCTGAAACAAAATGGCTATTTTTGTAGTGATCTTATAACATACTTATGTTATAATTTTTTATAAAAATATATTATATATATATATATATATATATATATATATATATATATATATATTGTTTTAATGTATGTTTATCATAATTTTTTTTTTTTTTTTTTTGATCAAATTAAAAATGATTTATTATCAACATGTCGGTCTAAAGAGACGTTATTTTCTCAAAATCCTGTCTTTAATTTATAAAGTAATGTGGTATTAACTCGCAGTGACTCGATTGAGAATTCACTGCTGATTATTACTGCAATACAGACTCTTAAAATATAGCAATTTATTCAAATCGTAGATTACACACAAAAAGCCTATTTACTGTCGGAATTAAAAGAAATATCAAAAACATTCCAAATTCTTTTTTAAAAAAATCATCAGATGAGTATTTAGTCTTTGAACCTTCCGACAATCAACAAATTTTGCTGAAATTATTTATTAAATTTAGTCTGGCAGAGAGAAACTGTAACAAAAAATAAGCTGAAAATTAAATTTACTACCCCAGATAAAGCACCCAGAAATATTTTATTACGTTTTATTTTTAAAAACGTATTGAATGGCGCTTTTATAAGAGAAAGGGGAGGTAACTGGCTACTACATCTTAAAAATCTTTTGTTCTATTTTCCGTTCGGGTTTATTTATAGAATGATTATTTGAGGTTTTTTTTTTGGTTTTTTTTTCAGTTTTCAAGTGAGTGAGACTAAACAGTTTATTCAAATAATATTATTAGTGCATTTTAGAAATTCCCGATAAAAAAATTCGCTAATACCGTGGAGAACGTCATTTAAGTATTTTAAAGTGATTTATAAAAGTTTATCTTGCAGTCTTAGACGAAAAACAGTGCGTGCAAATAGGTTTTTCTTTTTTTCTTTCCTCGTTTTTCCCCAAGATATATCTTGCGTTTCTAGCAGTAAATATTGTCTACGGATCGCATTAACTTGGTACGGTCGATATAAGCAAAAAAAAAAAAAAAAATATGTAAACAACTCAGTTAAAACTCAGCTGTTTAAAGTGAAAAGTAAAAGCAAAAACAAAAGTTGTTTTTTTGTTTTTTTTTTAAATAAAAAACATAATAGAAATAAGAAATGTATGGAGGGGAAGGAAGTCAGTGAAAGAAAATTGGTTGTGCATCGACCGAAGAAAACGAGACAAAATCTGTAAAGGATTTCACAACAGGAAAGAATTTGACGTATAATCGAACATGAGGGTGTTGCGGCAGTGACCCCTATTAAGAGCCGTCTCACCGATATTCGCTCCTCTGCTTTGCTTCCACCATCTTTTCATGCCTCTTTCTTTGTCATTACAAACGCACGCATGCGCACACAAACGTTGTGTATGTGTACGCACGAGCGCGTGCTTGCGTGTGTGTGTGTGTGTGTGTGTGTGTGTGTGTGTGACATGCTCTCATACACACACGTGGTTTTTTCCTTGTATTCCGAATCAGTCGTTGGTCTCGTCTATTCTCTTCATTTTATTACCTTTCGTTTATTTTTTAAACTATCAAATACTTGCCGCTCACACTTAGAAACACTCACGCATATTTTCTCTCATTTCAAACTACGACAACGTTTTTGTTTTTGAATCTCTGCTTTAAACGACCGGAGTTATAACCATTTTATCTTTGTTTCTATTCTTTAATATCTATCATCAAAGTCTGTTTGCGTCTGTCTATCTTTCTTATCTGCCCGCGTCTATCGCTGTCAGTCGGGACCTCGTTAGTAACTTTAAGCGTGGTGTGCAAGCCCCCATTTCCTACAGTTATGGTTCAAATGCGTAAAATAACCAGTATATATTCAAATTTCCTTGAGATCTTAAGGAGATTGGAAGACACAAAAAAAAGCCGAAAAAAGATTGTAGGAGTGCAGCAGGCGACAATCTCCCCTTTGACAAAGAATTGAATGATGTCTTAAGAGGCCCTAGAGATTCACGTGACAACACGTTGGTGAAGATAGACTATTGCTGCTTAGCTCACGACAGATACAGAGATAGTACCAATACTTGTTAAGTTAGTGAAGATATTGTACTTATCCCATCCCAGGCGCACTGATGTAATTAATCCACTTACATGAAGCTACAGAAAATATTATAAGATCACCGAAGTCAAGCAACGTCACGCGTGGTCAGTATTTAGATGGGTGACCGCTTGGGAATATCAGGTGCTGAAGGTTGGGTGTGCGGCTCGTGTACTGGATAATGGCGCGGAATTGTTAATCGTGGAGACGAGTTCTAATCCCCGTTGTGTTTGTTATATTTACTTATGCGCAAATACCCTTGGGAAAGGTATGAATCCACCTCTTGTCCCCTATCTATGGACTAAGTAGTAAGACTTGTGTCACTGAACCATTATTATCTCAAAAAAGCCTTACAATCCAAACATATTTCTGAGATTTAAATAATCTGGAAAGGGTTTATAATCCGTAGAAAACTAATCAACCAACCATCAAAATATTAACGATGTGGATTATCTTATAATAATAAATTTTTGATCATTTGACTTGGTTTATGTAAAGTAGCTGAAATCTTTTGCTCGGCCATTTTGGTGGTAGTCAGCGCAATAAAAACACCCATTTATAAGATAGTCATTTTTAGAAATTCCCAATAGTTTAAAAACAGCATGTCACTGTATACTTTTTATTGCAATAAACGTTATTTGTTAATGGATAAACGTTTGACTTGATATCTCCGTTATTTTGTTTGTTATTTGTTTTGTTTTCTTAAACAGTGAAATTAATGACATCCGCCCAAGATCGAACAGAAATATTGTATCGCCAAACAGAAATCGAATCTGCTTCATTTTTTCATGAGGGAAACAGCAAATATAGCCGAAGCATGCTAATACCAATTTAGTAATTTTAAAATCCGACATTAAATTTTTAATCCGACACTATTTCTTATTTTTGTGTACCCACTAAAAAATTATTGCTATAAAAATATTATCATATTAAAAATCGACTTGAATATATATATATATATATATATATATATATATATATATATATATATATATATATATATATATATATATATATATATTGTGCGTGCGTGCGTGTATTTTTTTTAGCAGCATGTTTTCATTGAGGTAAGTTTCATTGAAAAATTTAGACAAATTTTTTTTCTGCTTATTTTCAATAGGAGCGGTTCATAATCTTGGTATAGCTTTTCGGTGTCGGTATTAAAATAAGAGAAAATTACTGTGAATTACTCTTTTTGAATTTGTAGGTCTGTTGAATTGGATCGTGATTACGATTCCAATGTAATAAATTATCACTATGGAATACTAGTGTTCGAGCATTTTATATATATATAATATATATATATATGAAAATTTAATATTTGGACAGCAATCCTTCTTTTATACATGTTTAGTAAAATATGATGGACAAAGACTAGCTTGTGATTTACACAGATATGTTTGTGCGTGTGTGAGTGTCTTAATCATGTCTAAATATGAGGAGAAATATGTTTATGCACAGTGTGCAAATTTTTTATATGACTACATGAGTGTATAAACATTTTTATTTGTTAATCTATCTCTAAGCATATGTGTACATCGAGGCTAATATATATATGTGTGTGTGTATGTCCGATATATATATATATATATATATATATATATATATATATATATATATATATGAACACAAAAGTTGAAAGATGTAGATTTGGTGTATTGTATGATATGGTACTTGTCTACTGGCCTTACCAGTGTTTATTGTTGTAGTTTCGCACAAACTCTATGGTGATCGTTTTTTCTCGAAGCATTCAACTGTGAAATCATCAAAGAATTTGTGATCAGTCAGTCGTGTGACGGTAGATAGACAGGGCGTATGTAGATATATGCAGATGTTAGCAGTCAATATATATATATATATATATATATATATATATATATATATATATATATATATATGGCGAGAGAAAAAAAAAGAAAAGAGAAAAAAGAGAGAAAGAAAAGTTTATATAGATAAGCCCATGCAAGCAAATATGACTGTGCGTGTGGATATAATTATAAAATTCGTGTATAAGAAATTGTTTCTATGTATTTTCATCTGTAAAAATATGCGTGAATGACGTATACATAAAAACATAGGTGGATCAATAATTGTATAGCCTAGTGCGATTATTAACTGTATTTTCATGTGAAATTTTCATCCTACGAGCGGTTGCTGAAAAGTAATCTTGGCTGGATTGCTTCCTAAACTTTCACTAACTAATCAAATATCAGAGATTTTTTTTTTATTCCCCTTGTATAATGTTATATAGTTTTAAGTCTGTGAATGATTTCTGAAGGAGGTATCAAAGGATGTAGAAACTTGAGGTTGCCGTGTAGATAAATACGTACTCCTCGCCAAACAAAAAGGTAAAACAATGTACGTATAAACTATTCATATACAAATCATACATGTGTAATATATATGTATAAATGGGATTTGGCATTAAATGGTTGATATGCCAGAAAACCCATCAAATCAAACCGAATCATTAAGTCTGTGAATGATGGAGAAACCTTAAGCAAACAGCAACGAATGATTTGTTGTAGAAAATAATTGTTTTTTTATCATGTAGCTTCTAACTTCTGAGTGAATTTATACATGCATATGAAATTAAATTATGGATTAAAACCGACAGCATCATTAACTAAGGAAAAAAAAATAGGCAAACTTTTATAGATTTAACATGTTTTGGTTTTATTTTAGCTTCATCGGGATATTTTTTTAATAATCTCTAAATACATTTCTGATGAAGCTAAAATAAAAGCGAAACAAGTTTAATTTGTAAGCTTTTCCTTTTTGTGCCTTATTTACTCATACATTGAATAGTGATCGATGCAATATAACACAGCTATAAATTATATATTAATAAATAGACATATTTTTCGTCAGTACTAGCGCGACTCGGAGTTTTATGCACAACGCAATCTTCAGGTGCTAAGTTAACTCAATTAACATGTGTTGTGCATGAACTTCAGAGTCGTGCTTCCGGTGATAATAAATATGTATATTTATTAATACTCACACACACACACACATATATATATATATATATATATATATATATATATATATATATATATATATATATATATATATATATATATTTGTGAGTGTGTGTGTGCACGTTGTGTGTCTGTGTGTAAAGTATAAGAATTATTAAATAAAAAAACAAATAGGAAAACGTTTATTAATTTAATAAATTTAGCGTAGACAAAATAAACATTTTTAAAAAACTCAAATACGGGTATCAACTAAAAATAAGTAGTATATATATATATGGAGTACTAGTGTTTAAGCCTTTTTATTATATCCTTACTCTGTCCTGGACATTGAGTTCTACCTGGATTCTATCCTCTTGTATATATATTTGTGTGTTTTATATGTACATATATGTATGTGTATATTAACCACTAATATTATATATATATATATATATATATATATATATATATATATATATATATATATAGAGAGAGAGAGAGAGAGAGAGAGAGAGAGAGAGAGAGAGAGTTGGTAAGTAACGTTAAAATAAAAGCATTAACAAAATTAATATAATACATACTTAAAACTCACATATTATGAAATGGACATTATTTTAAGACATTTTTACATTCTTTTCTTTAGATACAAATATTTAAGTAAATGCTCTGTTTATAATAAACAGTATTAACCGGCCTGAATATCCGAGAAATTGTCATAGAAAATATGCGTCTTCCGTCAAGAATCGAACCTGTATCCTATACGGAACCGTCATACGTGCTGTTACCGATGTGGCCACAGAGGAGAGTTTCTGTTAGCAAGATCGATTTTACTATTTTTAAACTACAATCTTCCATGATTCTCTCACGTACATTCATATCTGCTCGATGCGTATCCAAATGTAAACAAATGACGTCACACATTATTAAATGGACAAATTTTTTAATGACATTTTTATGTTTATACATTCTATATATATATATATATATATATATATATATATATATATATATATATAAAAGAATGTATAAACAAAAAATTTCTTAAAATAATTGTCAGACTATGTCCATTTCATAATGTGTAATTGAGGAATCGGAGAGCCGTGTTCGAATTCCAGTCGAATTCATTACATTCACTCACGTGCTAATACCCTTGGGAAAGGTGTGAATCCTCTTCTTCTCCCTCCATTTATGGGTAAATAGCAGGACAGACTGGGTTTTCTAGCCTTGGATGGCAACTGGTCTAGGAGAAGGACAACTCTGAATTCAAAACCTGTGGAGGGTCTTTTGGGGACCTTGTGGCACGTAGTGCACCAGGTCTCTGTAATCGGCCCTTCAAAAAGTGTGGATGGTCCTGCACGAAACCTTCACCACTATAATCAAATCTCATGTGCTGTTGTCGGGCTGTCGGTTTCCTAGGAACTGATCGGCTTGACCTTCATACGTCGAAGTCGACGGGAGAGAGTCGAGAGAAAATATTAATGTAAAAATTCCGTTGGTATATAATCCAAGTAGATCCTAGTAATATAAAAATATTAGAACCGATTCACAAAAAAGAGCTTGATGTATTTTATTTATACAGAGCAATATAATTAATAATCTTTTTTTTCCTCATATAGGGCATCGAAATAACCTATTCCCCATATGAGGTAAAAGGATTCGTCTGTGATCATCTATCTTTTCAGTGTGGAATGAAGTTCACGTCTGTAAGGTTAGAGGAAACAGTGTATATATTAAACTGGAAGAATTGTTTAACATTACATACCTCTGTTTTAAGCAACAGTTTAACATGCTTTATTCAAGTAAGGCAAAAGTTCTGAATAATAAGTTACTCTGTAAGGTTCAAACACACTTAAAATGGATTACTTGCTATCTTCTTCAGGACGTAGGCGATCATGACCCTCCACATCTTCCTAACCGTTGTAGCTCTTAATAAGTTTTGTCTTTTTGTTATTTCTCCCAAGCCTTGTTCTGCCATCCATTTGCTCAAGCCCATCAAGTATGTCACGTGTTGCTTTCCTCTGTCCCTTTTCCCTCAATCTCTCCTGTGAGTATCTGATTTTCCAAGCTCTCCATCCTCACTACGTGCCCCAGAAATTTCAAGTGCCTCTTCCTGATGTTAAGTATGAGTTTCCATTTTGTTTCCATTCTCTCCAAAACTGCGTCGTTGCTCACATGTTCGGCTTATGGCA